TTGTGATTTCGATTGGGTTACAGTGATTTACAGCAATATGGGGTGTTATTGTGTGTTTCCAGAGTAACATGGGATAAGGAAACTTGCAACTAAATCTGTCCGCTACAAAAACTTTAATCCAAAACACCATATTTTGACTAATAGTGGCCTTTTTAACTCGGCTATAGTATATTTGATCATGTTTTCCTTTTTTTCTCATTCCTGTTTGAACTTGCTGTTGTTCCACGTTAACCTTCTGTCTTTATAAACCAAATAACACTTTGACATGTGTACCACTCTGGTGCTCTAAAGTTGTATTTTGAAAGAATACTGACATAAATAGTTTAGGTATTATTTAGTGTCAATGCAACTTAACACTTTCTGCACAGATTCTCACATTGAAAGCTTCAATATCAACACAAGGCACATCCACATCAATAGAATCCTTGCAGGTTCTGGGTAACACAAATCTGTATTATATATTTAAAATATAAATGTACTTGATCATTTCAGATAAGTTAAATAACATTACTCATAGTGAGACATAAATATACCTAACAATCATGCCATATGTGTGTTAAATATGAGCATCAGATGGTGTCAATATATCATTTTGTGATTTGAATCATATGTAAACTGTCAGAGGGAATGTTCCATGTATATGGATCATCCAATGTGTTTTAGGGAAAGGTCACTATGTGACGAGAAAGCAAGGGATGGAAAGAGTGAGAGAGATTTGTTTTTTGTCCTGGGCTGAGCTTTGTGTGTGTGTGTGTTTCTGGCCAGTGCCAGTCAAAATGGCCGGCGGTTACAGGCGTTCCCTTGGTCGTCGGATTGGACTGATGGCTGGATGTCTGTCTGGAACAGTGATTTGTAAAAGGCAGACAGGCAAACGGGGACAGTGCGAGGAATGGCGGGACAGAGGGTGAGATGGGGATCCAGGCAGATGAGGGCAGAAAGATGGAGGTAAAAGCAATAAATAGGTCTGACTGTTGGCCAATTTTGGGAGGAGAAGAGAAATAAAATAAAGATGTATTTAGGGCAGCCAGACAAGAGGCAGGACAGAATAGGGCGAATACAAATAAGGTATAAAAGCAGTAAGTAGGTGACAGATATAGAAGCAGGAAACAAACGGAAGATTGGAGTGTGAAGGGAGGGTGAAAAAATAAGTTGAAGAAGAAAGGCAAATAGGGGGACATTTAATAAAAAGGGCAATAAAGGAAGTGAGGGTGAACAGGAAAGCTGGACTTGAAGGAAGGTGGCAGCATTGGTGTGGGTGCACATGTCGTCCTGTGACACACCATGAACAGGACGGGACTAGGCTGAAGGGTACAATGCTTCTGTCTGGTCTGTCTAATGCATCATGCTATTTGCTCTAACAAACAAAAGCCTTTGAAAAGTTCTTTTTTCGCCTGCTTTAAGATGTGGAGGTTCTTTGGAGCAGTTGCACTGAATGTCAATGAAGTACATTGAATGATATATCAATCCACACACACGTTTGTCCTTTCAGGGCCCTTTACATAAACAAATCCTATCTATACTAGAAGACTAGGCTTTACTAATTCCAGTGTCAATATCAAATCCATTTGAGCTATGCCAGAAACCTACAAAAATACAGGTTAGACTCTTGTAACTATCTTGCTCATTTGGAGTTTTTCTTTTTATACTATCATATAAATAGATATATAATCCCATTCTTACCTGATAGGTTGTTATTATTTCATTTCCAGCAAACCAAATATAGTACTTCCAATTCCAAATCAGTCTAACAATGTAATGGCATGGCAGAGAGATATTTTCTTGCTCCTCATGCGTTGAAGCCCGTTTAGGTTTTTAAGGGCTGAGCTTCTTTTGTATTTGTTTCGAGAGCCTTTTATCTGATTTACCATGTTCGTGAAAACACAACATCATGTAGGACAATAAGATCCAGGAGTTGTTTTGGCAGAACCCAGTGAATGGTGGGACTTTGCTTCAGGCATGTGGCATTTCCATGAAGGTGCATGCAGGTTTGGTATTTTGGTGACCCACCATGAGCTTGACTTCCAGGAAGTGTCAGGCGATGTGCAGCAGGGGGTGTGTCAGTAACAATCAGGCAGCGGGTTTGCACTTATTGTTTGGGGCTGATTTTGTGTTTTCTTCATGTGGTGCCTGTTTGAACAGGTCATCTTCAAAGGTTTGCCTAAGAATTTGGCGAATTATTTGGTGCAAAAAAAAGTACTGCATGCACATTCACTATTATATCAGGTGTGCGGGCCAAATAAAATATCTTTATCCTATAAGACATTTGTATTCAATTTGAATAAATAGCACATATATTCTAGAGTTATGGCCAGACAAAGTGACCTTGACGTTTGACCACCAAATAAACATTTTCTAAATCAGTTCACCTTTCAGTCAAAGTTGACGTTTGTCACACACAACATTCACAAATATGGAGTAGATCTAAAAAACATAACGCCTCCGGTCAAAACAGTTTTTGCCAAATAAACGCCAGTTTATGCCCACCAATAAAGTATATCTGACACATTATGTGGTCAATGAGTTCAGGAGATTGGAGTTTGCCTTCTACCTTCTCAGTCCACCTATAGGGATGCTCCGATCAATCGGCCGCCGATCGATATCGGCCGATACTCACTCTCTGCCGATCGATCGGTGCTCTCTAAAAATGACGATCGCGAGAGCCGATCACATGACGTAAAATATATGACACTTTTCTTTGTGCGCGGCAAAACAAGCTCGCCAAAATGGCTTCACCAGTCTGGCAGTATTTTAAGGTGTCCGAAAAAGACCGTTAAAATAGCGGTATGCAACGTGTGTGAAGCAGAAATCCTGCAGCTCCACCCGCTGTGACGGACCGGTGAGCGGTGCAAAACTAGTTCTTCACTGTCGGGTCACTCATTACTGGATCAGTGAGCTGCATGAGATACTGACAGGCTGTCAGGAGAGAGAGAGAGGGGGCCGGACCTATGCTAGGCTCACCGGAATACCCCTAGAAGGTAAATTTCACTACAAAATGTTGAGTCAATTACCCGAGTATAATGACGCGCGAAGGTGTTGTTGTTGGTTGTATTAATAATGTAAGTTTAACCTCATGTAATAAAGTTCAAATGTAATTGAAACCTCATTATTGTGCCCTCTTTACTCGCCCTTTCGCGAGAGAAAAGGAGAGATAGAGAGAGAGAGAGAGANAACAGCCCCAAAGCATGATGTTTCCACCCCCATGTTTCACAGTAGGTATGGTGTTCTTTGGATGCAACTCAGCATTCTTTCTCCTCCAAACACGTCTAGTTGAGTTTTTACCAAAAAGTTCTATTTTGGTTTCATCTGACCATATGACATTCTCCCAATCCTCTTCTGGATCATCTAAATGCTCTCTAGCAAACTTCAGACGGGCCTGGACATGTACTGGCTTAATCAGGGGGACACGTCTGGCACTGCAGGATTTGAGTCCCTGGCGGCGTAGTGTGTTACTGATGGTAGCCTTTGTTACTTTGGTCCCAGCTCTCTGCAGGTCATTGACTAGGTCCCCCCGTGTGGTTCTGGGATTTTTGCTCACCGTTCTTCTGATCATTTTGACCCCACGGGGTGAGATCTTGCGTGGAGCCCCAGATGGAGGGAGATTATCAGTGGTCTTGTATGTCTTCCATTTTCTAATAATTGCTCCCACAGTTGATTTCTTCACACCAAGCTGCTTACCTATTGCAGATTCAGTCTTCCCAGCCTGGCGCAGGTCTACAATTTTGTTTCTGGTTTCCTTTGACAGCTCTTTGGTCTTGGCCATAGTGGAGTTTGGAGTGTGACTGTTTGAGGTTGTGGACAGGTGTCTTTTATACTGATAACGAGTTCAAACAGGTGCCATTAATACAGTTAACAAGTGGAGGACAGAGGAGGCTCTTAAAGAAGAAGTTACAGGTCTGTGAGAGCCAGAAATCTTGTTTGTTTGTTATTGACCAAATACTTATTTTCCACCATAATTTGCAAATAAATTCTTTAAAAATCAGACAATGTGAATTTCTGGATTTTTTTTTCTCATAGTTGAGGTATACCTAGGATGAAAATTACAGGCCTCTCTCATCTTTTTAAGTGGGAGAACTTGCACAATTGGTGGCTGACTAAATACTTTTTTGCCCCACTGTATGTCGATTAGAAAGATAGCACAGTATTCACTGCTAATAACTGTTGCAGTGAACATTAGAGGATCTAGCTCCTTAACATAGACGCAGCCAGAGTCAGTATCTTTCACCGTCCTCAGCTCCACCGTTAGGTCATCATCACTTGAGGTCATATGATGCTTTCATTCAATGAATCAACATGAAAGAAATACCTTATTTTACGCTTGTTTATATTGCATGATATTTGGTTTAGCAGGCCAGCAACATCTCCCAGACTCGTAGTATTTTGTCTAAAATGTGTGTTTTTTTTTGTTCGGGAACATCTCAGCTGATGGGTTATAATTGAAACGTATGTGATGTCCTGTGCATGCATGTTGCACTGCTTGCATCTGCATCCTTGCTTGGTATGGCTGCCTAGGCAACAGGAAGAGATCGTTTCCTTATAGGTTATTTCTGTCTCATGAGATGGTATTTGACAGAAGAGATTGGAGGACAGATTGTGAAAAACTGGAAAGATGAATGAGAGAGGATGTCGTAGCAATCTCATCTATTGTGGCCTTTTATAAAAACACATTTGAAATGCTTGAATGCCGAGGAGAGTGTTATATCTTTACTGAGTCACTTTACACACCTTGTCGTTCTCCACAGGGGAGAGACAAGTATTGCTTCAGTGAACCGTGCAGGAAAACTGCAAAGAGACTTAAAGGGTTCTGTGCAGACAAAATGGTCCTTATATCCAATGTTAAGGCATTTCTAAGTCCTCTTAGTGGTCGAAAAATAAGATGTTTATGAACAAATCACTTCCAGAATGAGTTTGTTGGTTTTTAACTTATTTAGTTGTTGAAGAACCATGAATTTTAGACCAATTTAATTATGACGTTTCTAATTTATTTTACTTTTTCTTTTCAGTAAAATCGGACAAGATGGAGAAGGCAGAGATTGGAGAGAAGATGGAGGACAATGTAAAGAAGGTGGACCTGTTCGATCCTCTGGATAAAGATGAGCGTAAAAGCGTGAAGGTGGAATTCAGTGATACTCCAGCAGAGAAAGAGATGGAGAAGGAAAAACAAACGGAGACACAAAAAGAGAAGGAGAGAGAGGACGAAATAAAGGGGGAAGAAAAGGTTAAAGCAGAGAAAGAGACCGACAAAGTGAAGGTGACAGAGGCAGAAAAGGTGAAGGAGAAAGAGGACGAAATAAAGGGGGAAGAAACGGTTAAAGCAGAGAAAGAGACCGACAAAGTGAAGGTGACAGAGGCAGAACAGCTGGAAGAAAAAAGAAAGGCAGAGAAAGTGGAGCCAATGCCACAGAAGGAGAAAGAGGATAACACGAACAAGGTTGAAGAATCACCAGATAGATTGGCAAAGACAGCTAAAGACGACAAGACAGAGAAAGTAAAGGTGACAGAAGCAGCAGAGAGGAAAGGAGAAGTGACAGAGAATGTGGACAAAAATGAAAAGTCCAAAATGGAAGAGAAGACCGAGAATAAAAACACAGAGAAGAATGAGAAAACCGAGATGAAGGATGGCAAAGAGCAGCAGATGGACAACATGGAGAAGACCCCAGAACAACTGCAGACACCCGACCAGCTGGAGAAGGAGGCTGACGTGGAGACAAAGACGTCCCTTGAGGTGGAAGAGACCAAGAAAGAAGAGGCAGACAAAGCCAAGAAGACAGAAAAAGACGACAAGGTAGAAACACCAACGAAGAAGAGCGATAAGGAAGAGAAGCAGGTCAAAATACAGGCCAACAAGAAGGTTCTGGAGAAAAAGGATGACAAGAAGGACAAGACTGCAAAAACAGATGTAGGAGACAAGGCCAAAAAAGCAAAACCTGCAACGAATGGAAGCAGCACCCCACTGAGCAGAGACCTGGCAGACAAGAAACCCAAGGTAGGAGCCCCCCCCCCGACGCACTGACACACAGATACGAGCCATAGAGTCTATACTCAAAACAACCATGGCTGAGACTGATACCCTATTTTGACACACCAGACTAAAACTTGCTCCTATGTAAGAAATGATACAGACGCGGTTTGTTTTCTATGGCGAGCAGATGCAGGACAGCTTATAACTTCACATTGTTATGATGGACACAATGAGTTATAAGGTCGAGTAGAAAAATCTACATTTCATACCATGACAACTGTTTTTCCCGGTAAACCATGCTTTTTCCCATTGTCTTGCATCAGTCCAGGTGGGGTTTGAGGTTTTACCTTTGCAAAGTTAAATTCCATCAATTAGGAAAATCAAAGAACAAAAAATCAGAACAAGGGTATTTATTTATTGGCTTGATTTGATAGATTTGTACATGTTTTACTGTTTGTAAGGCTATACATCAGGTTTAAACCTGTGAAACTAGTGAACACATATAATATTATCTATAATGTTATCTATTATTCATTAACATTTTATACACATACAAACGTTCTTGACGCCGACAGTCAGACTGTTCAACAACTCACAGCCACACTTGAGTAAATACTTCTATGAAAATGGTCTTACATACCGTAATTACTTTGATTGCAATTTGCACTGTATTTAAAGGAAATTCAAATATGTTACTGCAATCAGGTATTTGATGAATCCACACACACTTTGATTTGCTTTGTTTTTACACCCTAGTTAAAATATGATTATAATATATTATCTTGAATATGCGGTGGTTAACTTTTTTCTTGTAATGGGTAATTGATGGGCAATATGTATTTCGGAAATCAAGCATGATTTAAATCACGGAAAAAGCCATTCACCGTGCATGCCGCTAAAGCTTCTGCTACTGCTTCTTTATACCTACAGTATTAGTGCACTATGGAAGGTCATAAAGGTAACTGTGGAACCCAATACCTTTTTTTTATGTTCCTACATTTTCATTCATAATTTCTGAGTATAATGCTGCTTTTGTTGCTTAGTTTTTATCCTCCATTTTCCTTATGGTTTCTTTCCTTTGCTTTCCCTCCTTATTTTGCGCTCCATTGCTCCTGAATGTTTTGGTCATCAGCCTGCTGTCGGGGCAACCAAACTGAGCGCAGCTGCTAAAACACGCCCAAGTCCATCGGCTACTGGTGGTCCACTCACAGCCACTCCTAAGCGCCCTTCATCCTCCTCCACCAGCACCTCCATCTTAGATAGAAAAACAGCCAAGGCACCAACCACAGCAGCTGTTGGTGCAAAGCGGCCCTCCACCACTTCCACCAGCCGCCCTGCATCCTCCATTTCCACCACTGCACGTGATGTCAGGCCCAAGGTAAGATTCAGCTGACAGGGTGTCCGTCAAAGGATGCAGAATGAGACAGAGACTTTCCTCTGATGAGTTTGGATCAAGGATAAAGACGCTAACCAACCATTGTTTAACCATCATGGTTACCTGCGTAGCTTTTGTTCATTTGTGGCTCACAAAACCGAGTTTCTGAACATCTGGTCCTAGTGCCTCATGCCTTCTCAAACAGACTCACAATTGAGTATTTCAAAAAAGATTAAGATAAGAGGTACTTTATTGGTCCCAAATTGGGAAATGTTTGCGTCGCAGCAGCAGAAAACAACAAAACAGAAAACAACAAAACAGAAAACAACAAAACAGAAAACAACAAAGCAGAAAACAACAAAACAGAAAACAACAAAGCAGAAAACAACAAAACAAGGCATTGCACTCAAGTACAAATTAAAGAGTAGAAATAAACAACACTAGACATTTAAACATCTCAAAATTGAATTTAAACAGCATTAAAAAGTAGAAAATATACAGTAGACCGTGGAGATAAAAAATCTATAAACTGTGACAATAAAACACTATTGAAGGGAAATCTGATGAGTCCCGATCAAAGGGCGCATCTCGAGGGTGAGCAGTGTTTATAAGTTGTATCTGATGTTTTTTATGAGTAGATGTATTCATTGATGTATCATGTCGAACATGTTATCTTTAAGATGCCTTTAGTCGCTGTTTATTCTTCTCCATCTCACAACTTGAAACAACAGACATAACAAAGTCATTACAAAAGGCTCATGAGTTTTTCATTTTCTAATAAGCCTGCCATTTTAATAGTGAAGTAATTCACATTGTGTGGCAACAATCAATCAAGTAAAGGTCCATAAGAGCATGTATTGTTGTAGGCGAGGATACAGTAAACATCCACTATGGTGTTTCCACAACTGCTGTTTCTATTAATGGCTTATAATTATCATATTAAGTATAATTACATTTTTGGATTGAAAACATCTTAATGACCTTGGAAACCGTAGCTAACGAAACAATGGCAACACAAGTTCCATTGAGTAGCCCTTCTGGAGATTTCAATTTGTAGCACCTGACTTTAAGGGCTTTGAATCCCTGTTAGTTCAATACAGATACTCAATTAACCTAATACATGAGTCCTAAAAAGTCCTGAAGTGCACACAAAAATGTAAATGTTCACACCCCCGATCAATGATATCAAATTCACCTGCCGAGGAAGACCAAGCGGAATGACTGAATGCTCCAGGACAGATTCTTAGCTAGTGGTTTTGTCAACATTAGTACACTATTTAGTAACACAAGAAAATGTCATTGCTTGCAACACTCTATAAATTATATTATTATTATAAATTATTATATCTTTGCATTTGATTTCTGCACAGCATTCTGGATAATTTACCAGCATAATGCAACGTTCCTGGTTCATTCCATGCATGGGGGCATTTTGTCTCTAGAACAGATGAATATGCCCTTAAAATGGTTTGCTTTTATCAGGGATGCAGTCTTGTCTGCTTCCAGCACAAATCTCTAAAGTTGACTTTTTGTCAGTCCAGTCATTGAGAACGTTATGTCCCCTTTTCAATTCGTGCTCGGTTGACTTTTCTTAACTACAACCAGTGTGACACCACAACGGAAGAATTAGCAGCCTTTATTTAGCCTCCCAGGGCTCAGGGCTGCAGGGTGACTCAGTGCAGAGCGGCTCAGCTGTACAGTATGTGGAGCGTGGCATCATCGTAGGGTTATGAGGGGAAATCTGCTTCTGAATGTTGTGTGCAATCGTCAAGTAGCGTCTACATGTATCACGCACATCTTCGACCTGAATTCCTCTGTAAAGTCTCTGAACATTTGCCTGAGCTCATGACAGGAGCCAGGCAAACAACATGTTTTTATTACAGGACCAGTCTGCTCAACAGTAAAACACACATACTTAAAAGTGGAAAAGTTATTAAAACTAAAATGAAAAATAGTATATCAATAGCTATAAACAATATACACAATCCTGGATAATTCAAATGTTCTTTAAAAAGGTCAAAGATACTGCAGTAGCAGGAATATAGGCTAATAATATACTGTATACACAAGATTTAAGATGAAAGGCTCTTATTGTCATGTGTACATAGCACAGTGTAGATATATCAATGAACATCTTAGGTCACATGCAACAGTGCAACACAATAAAACGGATCAAATAGTTAAAATGTTAATAACAAGATAGTTTATCATTTACAGATGTGTGTTTTATTACTCATGTTAGCGCTAACAGAATATGATTAGCTGTTGATGGTTTTTGATGGATTTGTAGCGTTTGCTCATGCTGAAAATGCTTTCATTCATAAATCTTCCTCACCTGACATCCCTGCCTGGTGTTTTTATTTGTCTCCCTCTCCTCAGACAACCACAGAGAGGCGCCCCCTTGTGCCAAAGCCTAGCACTGCCTCCTCAACAGGCTCCACAACTGCCACCAAAAATGGAACTGCTACCACAGCAGCCAGTAAAACTGCTTCATCAGTGCGCACGGCAGCGTCTCCTCGCACCGTTCCTACCACCGCAGCCAGAAAGCCTCTGGGTATGACAGAGATGCACACACAGGTTCTTGTACACACATAAGGTTTTGATGCTCAGTATTTTTATCTCTGTGCTTTTGTGCATCACCATCTGTTTTTTTAAGCCTCCAAGACAGACAGCAAACCAGGAGAGGAGAAGAAGCCTGGCACTGTGAAGACATCTGCAGGTACAGCAGCACTCCCTTCACCTGTCAGAACATGCAGAAACAGAAAGCAGTCACAAAATACTCTCTCTACTCTCTGCCTGTAAAATGTCATTAAAGCACAGAAAGAGACTCAATGAAATAACACATGTACTTGAACAAAAGATACATGTCAAGTTCCATACAGTATATATCTAATGACCCCTCTGTTATGACAACATTTTAAAACATTGTGACGTGTCTGGTTGTAACTATTCCTAGTGGAAACTGCATACTACCAAAAACAACGTATCATGTATCGTGTGTGAATTGGACTTTTTTTTATTAACTCAAATGCTTTATTTTTTTAATTCCTTTGTTTTTTCTAATGAATTAGCCAATATGGTAAGGTTGGTTTGATCATTATCAAAATGATAAAAAGGATATTTTTTTGATACGGCACAATATGTAAATTCTATGCAAAATTAGTTGATAACGAGTTAAAAAATTAATTAAATAACATAATTGCACTACATTAGACTAGAGTCCTGTGCTGTACAGCTTTTGGTAATTTTCAGTACAATTACCCCACAACATTTTATTTTTTTTCCCACTAATGATCAAAAGGTCATCATATTGTTATGACATGATACTGCTGAAAGTAGATCAATGATCAGATAGATAGTGACATTAGTTAACATGTGTCATACGCTGCATTTCTTTTTGACTTATTTTTATTTAGAAGTTTAGAATTGCAACATTGTTTTTCTACTTTCACCTCAAGATCTATGTGACTTGTACATATAGCCACAATCAGGACCATTATCTCAATAGGAGTTAGAATTTAGTATTTCATAAAAATCTCTACCGGTGCCAATATTTCTGACCTCCCACCACAGAGCTCTCTCTTCCTCTGTGACTTTGCTCTCTGCATATATTTCTGGTCCTCTTTCTTCTTCACTCTCCTCATCTGTAATCCTTTTCCTCTTTTTTACCTCCCCGCTCTCTCGTCACACACAGTTACAGCTTTACTGTCGACAGATTACTTTACATTTTGGCAACAGGACAGCTGTCAGCAGGAGTGTGACACTGCAGCACACACTGTCCAAGCATGACAATGCTGGGTAGGCTCGCAGTGAGAGAGAGGCTTTATTGCTGAAAGGCCCTGGAGAGTTAAAACCCTTCACCGCAGCAGTCAGTGGATTACTGTCCCCTCGCTGTTGACAGGAGTTTGAAGCTCCTGCTGATACAGCGGGAGGATTTCCTCAATTAAACACGTCTTAACAAGAACTGGAGATACACCAAAGGCTCTCAGGGACAGCAGGACATATGCAGCACTCAGAAGAAAAAGCTGACTTGTAGCAAAGTGAATATGAATTGACACATTTTCAAGTGCCTTGTGGTTTAGCAGGCTGAGGGGAAGGATGCTGAAAAGTATTCACTAAAACCCACAGGAAAGAAATGCTATTCCTTTGAAAGGTGCAGTGGTGATGATACGCTCTCTGTTTGCCTTTGCTATCTTGTCTGCTCTCCATCTCTGTCTTATTTTTATACATTTAGTTTATTTACTCTCCTTTTTTGGCTAACTTATTTGTCAGGGGCTTGACTGTAAATGACAGGATGTATTTACGGTGGTTGTGTCAGTATGCCTTGAATACATAAAACCTTGCTCGTTCTAAGCACATCACAGCTTTACACGCACAGAATGTGGGCTGGCTTTAAACCCACGGCCCTATCAGAAACGTTGCTGTATCAGAAACAATGCGCGACGTGTTTTGGAAGTAATATGGTCTGTATTTACGTTAGCAAGCATCGCTAAAACTCAGAGCTAACGCTGCTTCAGAAATAATCCTTGATGTGGTTTGGAACATAATATGGTGTTTAATCACAGCAGCGTTTAGATGAGTATCTGGGTGGAATTCTCCTGTATGAGCTCTCCTCTCTTTTTTTTCTTTTTCTAAAGCTCAGAATCAGCAATCCTCTAACAGGGCTGAAGTAGAGGGGTATGATGCATGGCTATGATGGGTGATCTGTTTGGTATTTTGAGCAAAACACTTCATAAACATGTTTTTTATATATCTGTAATATATGCCTAAAAATAGTAATTAGGAGGCCTTTAAGTAAGACCGTTCAAAAATCATTTATCTTATTTACAATAAAGCTTTGAATAACTCTCCCACTCCATTTCTACTAGCCAACCCCACCAAGCCCAAGACCACCACCACCACCACCACCTCCACCACCCGCAGCACTACTTCCACCCTCGCTGCATCTCGCACCCGACCCACAGCAACCAAACCGGCGCCCCCCTCCTCCTCCACCACTGGCACAGCACCAGAGAAGAAGCCCTTGGTGCCGCGTACCTCCCGGACCACTTCCTCAACTACTACCACCACCACCACCACCTCCACCTCTAGGACCGCCGCCCGCCCCGGGACAGCCCCGGCCCCCGACATTCGTAACGTCCGCTCTAAGATTGGCTCCACTGACAACATGAAGCACCAGCCTGGAGGAGGGAAGGTAGGTCCTCCAACTGCAGCTTTCATAAATACACGAGTGTTTTGCTTCTGATAGCGTGTTTTCTGACACTGGCCCCCCCTTGACTAACGTGACCTTAGGTTATCTGAAGGCCTTTTTAACCTGCACCAGTGGCTTCCTGTGGCCCTCACTTACTCTTCAAACTTCTTTCTGAAGCTCTGTGTATATAACCAGCTATCAACATGTTAGCATAATGTACAAGGTTATTTCACCTCACTAGATTTTTCCGAACCTTCTTTCTCATTGTTATTGGCTTTGTCACTTGCTTGTAAGACCACTCAATAAGTCATATCATATCAAGCATAAGTCTATTTAGTTCCATTTCACCCATTTTAAGCTTTGATTTCTGTTTTTCCTCCTCTGTCCACATACATCATTCCCTGCACCTCTTCCTGCATGGCATCCTCCTCCTCCTCCTGCGTGTTGTTATCATTTGTTTTTGTTGTTGACCCCGGGTGGGCTTGTCTCCCCAGGTGCCATCTGCCTCTCAGAGCAGAGGCGTCCTCTCCAAAGATACAAGCCAAGGCAAAGTGAGTCCCCTCCTCCTCCTCCTCCTCCTCCCCAACCTCACCACAACATCCAACTCCCACCCCTCTCTTCTCTTTTGTTGGTTCTGTTCATACATATTTTTGCCATTTTCTTTTCAACACTTCATGTTTTTGGTTGGTTTAATGTGAATAGCTCTACTGAGGGCTTTTGACCATGTGCTATTATATTTTAAAACCATTTAATGCCTTTTTAGGATCAAATTGAATGAATGTATCTTGCAAAATAGCTCTTCTATTTAAGGCAAACTAGGGCTTTCCTACTTTACTTCCAGGGTACTCAGTTTGGCAAAAACATCTTTCAATTCCAAGTGGAAGAATGGAACATCATCTAAAAAAACATATAAAGTCCTTAAACTAAACCAATCCACTGTAGTTCAGTGCTAAAAGTAAATACAGTGTTTTCCTTTCAAACCAAAGTACCGTAGTAACAGCTAGCTGCCGTTGGTCACTTTCATGAAAAGAACAGTTACAATAATATACAATATCATTCTGAAGTCGGTGAACTCCATATCTGCATTTTTGAAGTTGGTAGATGTTGCATTACTACAGCAGGGGGGCTTCTCTATCACACACACCAGGCTGCAGTGGTGACCCCTGCTGGTAGGACCCTTGGGATCAGGGCCATCACTTGTGGTCCACAGCTGAGAACTCTGTGACTCTGTGTGTCTGTGTCTTATGGAAACCACAAACAAGCAATGAGCTTTACTATTATTACTTCTAAATTCTAGAAGTTTTCTGCCTTGGGTTTGCTTAGTTACTTCTAGCAGTCTAACCTGTCATTCAACTAAAGTATTAATTTTTGCCACTACTCACTGTGTGTCAACCGGTTAATGTTATTGTGTGATTGCATGTGTTTGCTCTATAAAAGAGGTTCCAGTGTGGAATTCTGATATTTAGTTTTTTACCAGACCTGGTTTTCAGACCTTCCTTTGGATTTCTGTCACTATTCATGTGGCAACACAAGACTGCTTACATTCCCAGCAGTTAATATCAAGCGCACCTAAGATACCGATAGTTCAAATGTTTTTAGGCGTGTTCACTGTTTCCCAGGTAAACCTTGCTTCATCCTTCTGTCCTTCTAACCCTGCCCGTTATGGTGATCTATTCTCCCTTCTCCTTTTCTTTTTCTACCTTTTTCTGTAATCTTTTCTCTTTTTCTATTGCTTTAATCTTTCTTTCACTTCCTCTGGTGTCACCCCTTCCCCCCCACCCCCTTGCTTTCCTCTATTTTCCCTCTTGCTGCTATGCTGGTTCCATATAGGTTCACATTGTATCCAAAAAGCTGGACTTTAGCCACGTCTCCTCACGGTTGGGCTCCAAGGACAATATGAAGCATGTTCCTGGTGGAGGGAAAGTAAGTACAGCCTGGCCTACAAGCAGAGCTCATAAGCCAATCAGACAAATAACCTGGCTTTAGGGAACAGAGCATGGAATAAATATTGTATTTTCATCTCTATTTTGCCCAAATCGAAGAACGCTCAAATCACTTCCAACCTGAGTGAGTTGTACAGTCTGTACAGCCTTCAAAAAAAGTGAAGGTAGCTCTTAAAGTCAAGCTACAGTACTTATGGCCGCTAACACTTTCTCTCTGCTCTCTTAGAAGTTTAGGGGATTTTTGGACAGCATGCTAGCAAGCTTGATGTATCAGCTATTCCCCAGAACCTGCTGCACACCCCCTTGCTCCTTTAACCCCTCCTGTGTTGTCTTGCCCTCTCACTACCTTACTAAAAAGGATTAATAAACTAGCAAACAATCAATACTGGCCTCTGATTGGCTCGTGGTAAAGATTGTCTGTTTCTGAGGAGAGTATGATCACAAACAGGTACATTTGGGAACTCTTGATATTATGCTTTCTCTTTATTTTCTGGCATTTTTCTCACCTTCTGCAGCGTGGTGTTCCTGCCATCTTTACAGAACACGTCTACGATTGTTTTACTTCTTAAGATATTGAAATAGATTTGTGGTCACACTTTCATTTATATAATGCATTATAAATATACGTATATATGTATGTGCTGTTATCCCTATATAATTAAAATGATAAGCACTTGTAAAAACGGATAATGCTTAATGACAAAGACTTTTATAACTACATATGAGGTCAAGTATCAAAATTTCTGTTCACACAATGACCCCTCGGATGTATTAATGATATTATTATGATGCTTTATCACACTCATTAAAAGCCATTGAAACTATTGGAATTATACTACACTATAGTCCTGTATGCGAATGACCAGTAATTATACAATATTATGATACTTGACCTTATAAGTCATTTTATAAAGTTTAATAAGGTGTTAAAATAATTGTTAGAAAGCATTATGATCATTGATACAATATTAGTGCTTATAGTTGTATTAATGCAGTACTTCAAATATGGTTTATAATGCATTATAGACAAATACAAAGAAAGTGTGTTCAAGATAGAGTTCAAAAACCTGAATTTGACTTTCTATAACATCCAGATACAGTCAGCAGTTTGTGTTCCACCACTTGTTGCATTGCGATGGTGGTGATGAATGTGTCAATGGTGCTTTTATAGCAGCTGAAGAAGGAATAGCCCCTAAAATGAAACCATCGAGGGATCTCTGTATAACGTTTTAACAATTAAGGCTTGTGTGACATTTGGCAGGTGCAGATTCTCAACAAGAAGGTGGATCTGAGTAAGGTGACATCAAAGTGCGGCTCCAAGGACAACATCAAGTACAAGCCTGGTGAGCTGGGAAATGTAGTTTTTACCCTATTGCATTTAATCCATCCCCAAATGCTCATAAGCTGTTAGACGGACCTAGATGAAAAAATGATATCAGTCTTTCGTAAAGTATATAATGTTTGGGTGAGGTTTTGATTCAACGTTGACCCCCTGTCTTATTAAGTGGATATTGAAGTCATTATACAGGTGCCAGATATGTATGGCAATATACAGTCAAATAAATAAGATTAGTGACTTGAAATAAAGAAGGCTGTATAGAAGCTGGATCTGTTTTGCACATGGTCATAACATTGAAAAGCTTGTATCCATGCCTGTGTATTTCATGATTATTTAGCTATCATAATAACAATGTTTCTGTGTGCTGCAGGCGGTGGCGTTGTAAAGGTCGAGTCCCACAAGGTGAGCTTCAGGGAAAAGGCCAAAGTGGGCTCCATGGACAACCTGAGCCATTCCCCTGCTGGAGGAGACATGAAGGTGAGATTATTATGGGGGACATCTTACAGTCTGCACACGGTTTTGTCTGTCTGTTAACTTTAAACTGTTTGTATTACATTCCTGTATAGTGGGAAAGCAGATCAGGACACTGCAATTGAAGCGCTTTAATAACCCAGCCAATCAAAATAAAGATATATCTGGTTTCACAGTACATTGGCAAGTTAAAATTCAAATACACTTACTGCTTTTAATAACAGTTATTACACATTATGCATAACTGCAACCTACTTGAGTTAGTCATTATGGCAACACAGTGTGCATTTCAATGACAACTTCTTTATTATTATTTACATGAAATGCTTTTGAGGCAATGTGTTTATATGAAAGCAGTCCTTTAGGGCATTATTTACTTCCTCCTATAATGAGACAAATCTCAGTCTTCAATCTGTATCTGAAAAAGTTGTACGTACCTTTTGTCATTAAAGTAATAGCTCTGCTGTTAAAAGAGAAACGATGTATAAATATCTAACAACGTTCACCTTTATCTAAAAGAAAGAGTTCCGCCCACTCTTAACCAGTGAGAAGATCCCAGAAGAAATACAAATATGAAAAAAGTTCAAACCTGTTCCAACTGGCAAAAAGTGTGTCCATCTCAGAACCTATGCAGAACTATTACTTCAGGTGTTTTAAGCTTTTCGTGCACATTCCACCGCCGTGTTCATAAACTAAAAGATGGGTGGCTTCAAGCTTCAATAACTGATGACAGCCTGTCATAAACCATCTGTGGCATCCTGCAACCTTTTCATCTGAACCTGCAAACGGCCCCTTTTCTCCTGATCTTCGGCCGTCTGTTTAAAAGATGTCTGAATACCTCCCTGCAGGGCACAGCTCCGCTCGGCCCTGTCAAAAACACTCAGAGAGAGAATGAGAGGAGACAGGCATACAGAGAAACGGTTGACACGACGGTCAAAGATTTCTAAAATATGAAACATTTCAAAAAGGATTTGAATCACCGAGAAACTTATAGAGAGACAATACATGATGAAGTGACCTATTCCCTCATCCTCTCTGAGCTTTTATTGTTTCATGACCCCATCCTTAACTCACATTCTCATCTTCACACACAGTTCACCCATAATGTGTACCCTCCATCCCGGGGAAGATGCAAAATCAACCGCTACAAATACAAACATTCCCATATTAACCTGTCTGAGCAAGCTCTTATCTTTGTGATAGCTCTCTAATGAGTTCTAACTGAAGTCTATTTTTACAGATCCAGTATATATTATTATTAATAAATGATATTACTTTATCATGCAGAGGGGTTGTGGTCCATGAGAAATGTATATTTATTTTACATGTTGATGTTGCTTTCTATCATTCCATTCATTCTAACATTTTAACAAATATGTTTTTGTTAGCCCATCTCCCTTCAACTTGGTCTAGCTCTTGATGTTTTCATACTTTTAGCCAGACATCTGTCTCACCAGTTTTCTTGGTGTATGGCTAGACTCTGAACTTTCATTTAAATTGCATATAAATCATGTATTAACCAAAGAAAATTATGGGATCAGTCTTATTTTTTACGTTCAGTGTCCCTAAGAAAATTGCTTCTCAACTAATACTTCCGATTATGGACTATTGTGATGTTGTTTACCAGAATTCAAATAAATCAGATCTCTACTTAACACAGCTTATGCAGTTATTGGTTGCCCTTTTCATACACATCACTGCACACACTTAAATGGCCTTGATTAAATGTAAGAAGACACATTCATTGGCTTCAACTTATATTCAAATGTTTTTTTACTTTTAGTATTTTGTAAATTACATTTCAATTATCAAGTTAGACACTCTGTCCTGAGATGCTAAAGAGTGTTCATGTTTAAAGCCACAAAAGATTGGAATACTTTTCCTGCTACTATTAGATATTAGAAACCAATCTATTACACACAACTGTCCATTACATTGTAATTTGATGTATTACTTCATGAATTTAATTGAACAGACTTTACATGGTTTGTTATTGTTTGTTGTGCTTTGCTTTCTGTTATTTTTGTTGTTTTTTAATGTCTGACGTTGCTTTTGTCGGGACACCTTCAAAACGAGCTGGGTTTATCCTAACAAAGGGGGTTACCCTAATACATTTATTTCAAAATATAATTCTTTTGGAAATAACTAAATACAGAACTTTAATCTGTCTTTCACGAAAGGTACCAAATGTAATAACATGAGATCCGTGTTGTTCAACCCCCATCCCAACCCATTGACACGCCCTGCTATGTATTACTAGGCGGAGGGAGCCCAGGACCGAGCAGAGGGGAACGGGACCCCCATGAGCGGCAGCGCAGCCCCAGGCCCGGAGCCGGGGCAGGAAGGGAGCCCTGCTGCCCGGGAGAATGGTCTGAAGGAGGGGCCCCCCTGTGATAATGAGGGTCTCCAGGCTCTGGACGCACACATCCCAGAGACAAGTGAGTGTGTGTCAGCCATGTTGCTGCGGGAGAAGGAGACATGGAATGAAGCCCAGCAATATCCAAATGCCTGAAACATTGCATGCTGTATAGCAAGAGGAGATTACTTTTGCTCCCCTGACTGAGATCAACTGCGTGTGCAGAGGTGGGAAGTAGAGTACAAATACTCCACTACTTATTTTTATGATGACTTTTTACTTTTACTTCTTACATTTTTAACTCAGAGACCTGTGCTTTCTACTTCTTAGATTTTCAAAACAGGTTTGTTACTTTAGTTTTAATCTGCGTTTGGTGGCGTGATCATTATTATTTAGAGTCATTGCGTGCCTACTGTATTGATTTGAACACGATCCGTGTATCCATCATTTCCTGGTCTTCTCTAAAGAAGAGGGACCAATGGAAACTTCAAAAGCATGGAAACATTCATTAGCTAACAATGACATGATTGTTCTATTAATATAAAGAAAGGTCAGTTAGTTATGGGTACTTTTGACTTAAGGTACATTTCAAAGCACGTACTTCTTTACTTTTACTTGAGTGGAGAAGTTTAGTCAGTGCTTCTACTTTTACCAGAGTATTTTTAAACACGAGTATCTGTACTTCTACTTGAGTAAAGGATGTGTGTACTTTTGCCATCTCTCACGTGTGTGTGTGTGTGTGTGTGTGTGTGTGTGTGTGTGTGTGTGTGTGTGTGTGTGTGTGTGTGTGTGTGTTGTGTGATTAACTTACGTATTAGTCATACATTATACGTAAGTAGTATGTGTGTGTGTGTGTGTGTGTGTGTGTGTGTGTGTGTGTGTGTGTGTGCTGTATTCATCATGTTGTCTCCAGTCCAAAGACCTCTGATCACACCATCATCTTTCGACTTCTTATCTTGCAGGCATCTAATTCTACAATCCCTCTGCCCCCCCTCATCTCAACCCCCCCAACAATACCACCCTCTATATTTTTTGTCTTCCTCCCTCCCTCCCTCCCTCACCTCCCCCTCTCTACCACTTTATTTCTAACCTTTCTGCTGCAGATTGAGTGTTTTCAAGCTCAACTTCCGCGAGAATGCTCGCTCTCGCACGGACCACGCCGCCGAAATCATCACCTGGCAGCCCCCCCCCCAGGACGACAACAGACCCCAACCTGCACGGTTCCTCCCATTCTCTACACCACTACCACCACCCGACCCCTCCATGATGAGGTCCAGCAGCAGCTCCTAAAGGGATCTTTTCCTTTCACTCCCCCATCCTGGAAAACTCTTAGATATGTCATTGGAAATGTTTTAATCTGCCGTTCTGCCGTAGTTCTGTCGCTCTAGTATAAACTCCATGTTCTCATGCCTCCTCTCTCACATCTGAGCTCATCATCTTGCCCCTCTATATTTGGCTGAAGTGACTTTAAAGACTTGGGCCTCTGTGGGAATCTATGTGGAGGGAAAAGAGGATAACGTTTTCTCAAATATTTGGTTCTCCAAGTTGAACTGGATCCATGGTTGTCACTCACATCCTTTCCCCCCCACAGCCTGGGCGTGTACTCTTACCCTCCATCCTCTCACGCACCAAATAAGTAGCGATTACTTCAACTGAGCAGCATGGAAACCCTCTTGGACTCACCTGTTGGCTTCTGTCAAACACATAGCTTCTCCTTAGTGTCTGCTTTAATAACATCATAGTAATTCATCTCATCTGCTTAGTCACTTCCTCTCTTCTCATTACCATAAACAATAAAAGCTAGACAACAAGTAGGCTGTTTGAATCCTTTTAGGCTGTAGCTAACTCTCTTCTCTGTGTTTGTGATGATGTGTTTGAGTGACAAAATGGTGTAAAAATGAGCTTTGGTGTACTGTTCGGATCTTATTTCTGTCTTTCTCAAGGTTTCTTTCCTTCTAGTTTCTTGATTTTAAACAAGTTTATATTTATTTATTGTACGTCTCTTCCTGCGTAAGCAATACAGTGGCCGTTTTTTTTCTTTTCCAATAGCACTCTGAAAATCTTGGAAACACGCACAGGTTTTTGTAAACAAAGACACACATTAAGGATAGAGAGAAAGAAAGTAGGAAAAGAGGTGTTGCTAGGAGGCTGAAAAGATGCATTTGAGGTGTGCTTTGCACGTGGAAACCTGAACGTTTTTCAATTGCAATTGAGAAAGTTTGCTAAAGTATAGCTTTAACTAAGCATGCAGTCCAGAGGGACATGAGGACGATGTCTAAATGTCTCTGAGGTTAAAGGAGCTGTGTGTCTTGTATGTGCCTCCTGTCCTTCTTACCTGAAAAGAAATGAGGATGATGCAGGCTCACGCCTAACACTGCTTAGACAAAGAAATGATGATAGTTCACAAAACTGACATAAAACGTTACGGTTAACCTGCTTTTAAGGACGTTCTTTAAATCAAGCTGTCCTGGTAGTAGTAATGGTTGTTGTTCAATATCAGGTGTTTCTATAAGGGTTATGGTAGCATGTTGTTTGACTCTAGCTGAATATAAACATCTCAAATAACTGTTCAGCACTTTCCTTCTTTGAGTATTGGCAGTGGAACATGACGTGGCTTTATACTCTTCTCTTGTAGCAATGTATTCAACTGATTGCCTTTATAATGCATGGTCAGATTATACTGGAGATGAAAGCCTTTGTGTATTAAGACTCAAAGTGTTGTGGTTTGGTACCATATGTATAACTCGGGGCAAACTTAGATAGCTGACGTGTTGTAACTCAAATTGTGATTTTGAACAGTGATGGAGAGGAAGAGCTAGTTTCTGATGGTTGTTGTTTCATCATTAATTCTACCACAGATTTGTATACAGTGACAGCATGGCTCCAACTTACTAAAATAAATGAAAAAAGTTTTGATTATATTAGAAGTATTTTAGTTCAGCGATGTATCACGTACAAAAGTCATGGTAAAACTTGTCAGACATAACTGCATCACTACTCTGCTCAGTTTTGAGTATAGTAAGTGTATGGCTGTGTATTATCAGGAATTTTGAAACATTTTTGCTACTGAACACAAAATATAATCTCTTGAACCTTGCATCATTTTTAGGGGGCAACTTGGGGACAGCCCAAAGAAGCTGTAAACACAAAATATACATTTCATGATGTATGTTTTTCTGTTTTAACATCCAATAGACGGAGAGCAAAATAAGCATTTATGTTGAATGTAAGTCCAATATTCCCTCTCCACTAACTCCCTAGTGAAGTATGGCTCTTTAGTTGCAAAAAGTGACATTAAGCTAATTAATCTGATAATAAGTAAAGATTTTGAGTCAGAACAACCGATGATGCAAACTTTTGCTTTGACTTTTTGTTATCTGTAGTATGGACACATTGCATGTGTCTTCATTCAAATTCTTCTGACGCATTCGAGAAATGTGCTAAATACCAAAGCTCATTTTGACTGCCCTTTAGGGAAAAAACACAGTTTTCTTATCCAAATTGTCACTTAGAAATTAGAAAGGGGCCACTGAAGTGAAAGAATGTCTTTTGAGATATATTGTACTAAAGACACAACACTTTTGTATATGTATTTATCGTTGTGTTCCTGTAGCCTTGTGGTGGTTGTGCTCTCATTGGTTGAAGGGATTATAATTAAGATGTGTAACAGCCAGTTTCACAAACTGTGTTCTTGAGTTTCCCCAAGGATTTGCACAACAAGATTTGAACCCCAATACATAACTTACAAAGTCTTCAAAAATCGCATTAAATCTGATGTTTTCATTATTGCGCTGTAATGGCAACTTGATTTAGAAACATTGTACTTGCAACCATTATTACAAGTTTGTTTTTTTACTACATATGCAGTGGGCAATTATGCCAACACACTATTAAACCATGCAACAAAGCGCAAGCCCTGTCTTAAGATATAATAATAATTTTGGGAATACCTGGCTAACTTCTCTTTCAGGACCTATAGAGGTTCATATGATAAAAGAACCTAGCACCTGAAACACATGACACTGTACAGTATATGACAGTGGGCAAAGGGAATTTGTTGATGAAGCAGGCACTAAGTGTAGCGGTAGATGTGTAGGCCTGTGATTTAGTAGTACTTCATATCAAACATAATGGCTGCTACATATAGCACTCAAAAAGCAGCAACCTGCCGAGGAGAGACACACACACCTAACACATCCTTATCTAAGGTTAACTACCCGTAGTTTCCGGATTTTGCTTTTGTAATAAATGCTCCTCAGTATTCTATCCAAGGAGCGTTGTAGATCTTCATGTACCGCCACTGCACTCATGCAAGAGTAACACTAGCTAATACACACGTGCTGTACCTGCAGAGCATGCTGAAAAACAACAATGGGGTGTGTTAGGTAGACTTTCTATGTCATTTGCAGAACCTCCTCATTGTTTTTTGGTGTTTTTTGTTTTGTTCATTCATTTGAATTTCATTTTTTGGTTTGGAAAACAGTGTTTTTTGTGATTACTTGTTGATTAGTGATGTGATTATTGAACATGAAATAAAAATAAACTAAAACTAAAAGTGTTGTGGCTTTTCTTTTAGAAGTGAAAACAACAGTTAAAATACTGTATGTTGCTGCATATTAACTTGGCAAACCTAGCAATAGCAAGTGGGGTAATGCACACTTTTTGTTATAATCAACTAATCTACTACTTTGAGTCATTCTTTCAGAGTTTATTTGGCATTAACCAGACAAGAATACCAAATTGCCGTTTTGTTTAATTTCATTCGGAAACATCTGAAATGAGGTCAAGTCGCAAGAGTTAGGCAAATGTCACTTGTTCAAGCACATGAATTCTAAATAATTAAAATGACATGTTTTGACATCTATCTATCTATGTATTTTCCCCGGGCGCTGTACAATAGATGCCCACTGCTAGGATGGGCCAAATTTCACTGTGTGTGCTGTGTGCTCTGCATGTGACCATTAAAGAGGGTTTCATCCCTCCGATGCAAATTAACACTGTTTGGGTCTATTCCGGTGTTGGACACTGGGGGCGGTAGCGCACATTTTCTCTAGGTTTCTGCTTAATTTCAGGAGAAGAAGACAGTTTCCAGGGTAACGTCGACATCATCTGGTGTTGTTGGCTTTCTAGCATATGCTAGCTTGTGTTTTAACGTTTACACTAGTTAACGTAAGTAACCATTATCCTCTTAATTAAACTAGCTTGCTAAACAGCCGCCTCGCTAAGAAAATACTGTCCTTTACTATTTGCGAAAACGACCAAGAAGGAGTAAGGTTTAAGGTACGAAAGAGTGTAAGCTTTACCACGCTTTTCCATTTCAGTGAGCTAACGCTTAAGTATGTTATTTTTGGCCAATGTTCATGGTTCGGTAAACAAAATGGCTAACATGCATCAAATTCAAAACGACCGAAGTCAGTTGAACTATAGTTTACGTTCTTAGAGATAAGGGTAACGTAAGTCTACATAGCTAAAGGCTAAGGTATTGCTGGGGTGGAGCACATAAACACACAGTGCACGAAACTGTTACACTTCATCTACTTACATGATTTCCAAAAACTCTTAACTCCCATTGCTTAAGCCTAGTAAATGATAATGTGTTGTGGGGAGGGATGGAAGATACAGTTATGTGGTTTGGGTTCATGTCTGCTTCAGTAATCAAACCAGCAAACTTCTAGTCACAAAGAAGCTTTACTGTCCTCTTGGGTGCTCACATTAAGCAAACACAATAACAATCACGAAGTATAGGAGCAGCACAAGGCTCAGTAAATAGATAGATGCTTTACTTTTGTGTTACTGTCCAATGCTAGCTAGCTCCAGGCATAATGGCAAGTCAGCGACCTGCCTCTGGCATTGGCAGGCCTTTGAGCCGCAGTGGGACTGCAGTCCCTGGGGCTGGAAGACTCCCAACAGCCGCCCGACCTCCTCCTACAGCTATCCGTGTCACAACTGGGGTAAGTCAACTGCCACTCCAATTCATTTGAGCTTGGAGATAAAAGTGCCCTTCCTGTAAGCATACTGGGTACTTAGCTATAGTCATGCCATCATACAGTATCAACTAGTTATAGCAAAGGAAGAAAGCCGAAATGTCTCTAAAAAGTAAAATAAGTACCATTTGAACAGCATGGCTTCATTTTAGAGAGCTTGTTTCAGCTTTATTTTGTGTGTCTTTTGTCAATATTTGTATTTGACATCACTTTAGTGATTCTGGTAGCTTCTGCTATAATATATCTCTTATAAGCAAATGCAACTCATAGCTGTTGGTGCAAAATCAGTATGTTGCTGATTTGTGATCTGGATATTTTACAAATTACAAAGGCATTATTTTTATTAAATCAGCATATCAGACAAGATTTTGCAATCTTGTCAACTAGCCCTAATGAGCTAGTTATACAGTCGCTGAGTTTTCTTATTTCATTTTCAATCCAGATGGTTCCAGGTACAAGTGGTCATCCTGGCATGAGGGGCGGCATCCCCCTCGCCACCCCTGGAGTCCTGTCGGCACAGATCAAAGTGACCGACAGGCCTGTGACCCAACAGGGCCTCAGTGGTATGAAGACTGGCATGAAAGGTAAGTCTAACGTTGCATCAGTTGACACTTTTTAAAATGCACATTTGTTTTATTAATTGCTTTAGGCTTGGGAATCTACCAGCCGTTTTGAGCCTTGTTGAAACAGACATTTAAAGTCTCACTTCTCTTCCCTCCACCACATCCTTCCTCCCACCCAAAAGGACCTCAGAGACAGATTCTGGATAAGTCCTACTACTTGGGCCTTCTTAGGTAACAAATCCAACTAAATGTTCCAACTGGAATTTTTAGTAAAACATTTTAAGCCCTGATTGTTATTACTTTAAACTGCAGCAGGTTATTTCTGTAAGGGCAACATTTTCTTAAACATAATTTTGGTCCAAACTGGAAAATTGTTTTATTATTGTTGTGCCTATAGGAGTAAGATCAACGAGTTAACCACAGAGACCAGCAAACTGCACAAAGAGATCGACAACTACAACCAGGAGAATTCAGTTTATCTCTCCTACGAAAAGAAGTGAGTGGTGTTTTCACTAGTGATGATGGACAGTTTGTAATATAGAACCTGTTCCTTTTTCACTGCATTCCACTGCCTTTATTATTCAGACATGAGAAAAAAAGCCTAACTTTAATTAAAAGTATTTTTCAAAGGAATTTGAAACACAGTTTGGTTACATTGTTTTATTTCCAATTCACATAGAAAAAGTATGTTTTCTAACAGAATAAACGATGGAAAGTTTGAATATTTGAATGAACAATTGTATAATGAATTTAAAATAAGAACCCTTTTTTATTTCCCCTTCAGAGCTGAAGGCCTGGCTGGGGAGATTAAGGATCTACAGGGCCAGCTTGCTGACTACAACATGGTAAATAGCTGCAGTACCAGCCATATTCTATAATCATTTTCAATAAGTAACTTACGGAAAATAATAGCCTGTTCCTTTATCCTGGATATGACAAGAAACCATGTTAAGTATTACGCAATAACAGATTTTTTTTACACTTTAATGTTTTGAACTGTATTTATTAATCGTCGCCTAGGAGTGTAAAAATAGAGAATGAGAGAATGGAAACTCCAACAGATAGGACGCAGGAGAGAAATCCCTCCAAGCTCAGCAGCTAAATGATAAAACAATGTTTGGTCACACTGTTGTAGTTAAGGAAGTATTTAGATCAAACACATATCATTTTCTTTTTATTTCGTTTTATGTTTATTTTCATGGCTCTGTTGTTTAAGTTATATTGATAAGCATTTTATTTTTTTTGGTTTCGCCCGTGTGGGCATGTGCGGGTGGAGGGAGGGGGGGGGAGTGTAGTGAATGTACTGTGGTACTGTGATATTACAATATACATGAAATGGCATCGATTACTGTACACTATAATGAAATAAAAAAACAAATAAAAACATATCATTTGAATATTAGCAGGGTACTTTAAAAGTGTAAATGTCTGGTATAATAGTAGGTGTGAATGCTTTACAATGGACTCTTCTAGATGTATTTAAACACTTGAGGAGTCCTACTGATATGTAGCTTCATTGTTTGCATTGTTCTGATTGTATTTCAGCTGGTCGACAAGCTCAACACAAACACAGAGATGGAGGAAATGATCAACGACTACAACATTGTAAGTACACCATGTAAGATGTCAAATCATCAAAATGGTATCAAATCAAAGGTGTGACCATGGGGGCTGATTTGGGTTAGAAACAAGTATTTAGTAAATACAATGAGAATGCCTACTCTTTGCTTTCTTCTTCCCTCCTGTCTACCATCCCAGTTGAAAGCCCACAATGACAGTGAGGCTGAAAGCATCGACAGCATCTTCACTGAGAGGAGAGAGTAAGTACGGAGGACTTCTAATGATGTTTTTAAGATCACTGGGTTGTTGGGAAAGCATGTTTTCAAGCTTATATTTAGCTTAGAAAAAAAGTATTATTTATAGAAAATAGAATAAAATGTGAAAAAACTATTATTGTATTATAAAAGAGTTTATAATTTATGAATTTTTCACATCCATGATTAACTTTGATTTGATATCTCAGGAAGGTTGGCTGTATTTTACAGTTAAATAATGATTCCATGTTGCATAAATCTAAATATATAAAGTATACGGTTTTTGAGTGCAGCCTTAACGATGTGTATCTTCCAAAAGCCTGTAAATGTTGGATTGCAAACACAAAAATACATTCTTCAATAGTGTGGTGGCTAACTTTAGGCCCAGAAACCAAGATGGAAGTCAACCTTGACTGCAAGCAGTTTTGTTTTTTTAAATGAAGGGATTCAGTGTTTTTATATGTATTGACAAATATCCTCCTACTTCTTAAGATACTTCTTCTTTTTTTTTTTTAAGGATCTTAAATCTTCTACGATGCAGTGCTGTAGATTAAACGACCCAAACGTTCATAAAGTGGTTAAGTAGCATATAAAGTAGCTCAAATTAGCACAACCTCAACAACAACAACTACTGCTATTAAACATAATAGCAAAATACTGACAGCAGTTTAATTACTGCACAGTCAATCATTTCATTGTTGATACTTTAAATACATTTACTCATGTGCTTTTACTGATGAAAGATTTTGAATATCTATAAAGTAAATACTCTCTTTATGTCGACGTATGGGTTGGCCCTTCACATTTTACGTCTGTCTGTCCTCCAGGAACAGGCGTCTTAGTTGAGAGAGAGCTCTTATGTAATAGTTATAATATATATATATATATATATAACAGTACAAAAATCTAACAGCAGGAGCCACAGAGCCAGGAGAACATTTAAGTGACTCCTAGAATAGAACATATTAACAGTGTCCTTAGAACACAGAGTTAAATGTTTGTACAGCTTACCCAACTAAGGCAATATATACCCTACATATCTAGAGGACATTTTCTTTTTTTCGCACCATAAAACAGCCCACAGTGAGCACCTCGTTTTCAAGATTACACAAGTGACAAATCTGTGATGATTGCTTCCTCGCCCTATTCCTGGTTTTCCAGCCGCTCTTTGTTCTGTCAGTCTTCTCTCTTGATGTATGGATCCTCAAAATACTCATCCTCCTCCGCCTCCTCTAGCTGCCCATTCTCTTGCTTGAAGGTGAATGTCTGATGGTTCATGTACCTCCCTGTCCCTGAGAAGACTGTTGACACAACGTCCTCGTCCTCCTCTTGGTGCAGTCTCCGGTGACGGTAGTTGTAGAAAAGCTTGTACCAGGAAGGCCCCTTTACGCCGCACACGATGAGCATGGAGGTGCACAGCGCCAAGGCTGCGACACATGCTGTGAATTTCCATGTGTGGCCGAGCACAGGTTTCTGGTCTATAGGGATGGAGAGACCATTCTTTAAAAAGTTAGAAGGAAGAACACAGGGTCAAATACCCACTTCACCTTTGTCCTACCTTTGTCGATGTCCTTCAGGCTTTGTGTGGTTTTCAGCATGGTTGATGAGCCAGAAGGCTGTTGAGAGTTGACTGGTTTGCTTAGGGTTGTAGTGAAGATGGGGGGTGTTGATGGTAAACACATGTTTGCAGCCTCCCAGAGGTCTCTCCTAGCCTGCTTTTCTGGTGAAGCACAGGTGACTTGTTGTCCCCCTGTAGAACAAAAGACATCACCTTTTTGATAGTTCAAAAAGCCTCCTTGGAGCATGTTCTTCTTTCCATCGATCTGACGGGAATTATTCATGTCCGAATAAGCACCCCCGATTACTCTTACGTAAAACAGCTGTTACTAGGTTGCATCAAGGAAATCAGTGTTCTCAGATCAGATCAGGCTAAAAATATAAATATTCAGATCCAGTCTGCATATAATCATCAAACCATTCAATTGCAGAAATTACAATTATTACCAGTTTTAACTCCGGCTGCTTTGAACTTTTCAAAGCCGCTCAGCAGGGGACAGGAACAATTCCAGGGGTTACCCAGTAGGTTCAGCACCTAATGAAACAAGACTGGGTGTGGTTATCGGATTAATAATAACTTGAAATAAAAAGACAAGATTGCTTGGTTCACACGATTTATTTCCTTTTGTGTAAAAACTATTTTGGTCCACTGATAACGACATATTTCATATAAGGATCAAATGAACTCCTATAAAAAAAAATCACAAGGTTCTATTTTAAAATTTTAAGAATTAGACAGGAACGTGAAGTAAACACAAAATGTTTTAATTTTTAACCTTATAAGACGTAGCAACCCCTTTTTTTTACATTGTCCTAATAAATAGAAGCTTTTCACATTTCGTGGAATCCTGTGGTTTTTGGAGGGTGTTTACCTGTATATTTTCCAGCTGGATCTGCTGTGTAGGAAGACTTGTCAGCAGGTTGTGGGACAGGTCCAGCTCGGTCAGAGCATCCAGGCCGGATAACGCCTCTGGGTCCAGGCTGAAGGAAGACCCGGGTAGTCAGAGCATTTGTGAATGCAGGAATTATTGTAGCAGTAGCAATGGTATCAGCCTTTTACCTGCTGATGTTGTTCCTGGACAGAGACAGCACTCTGAGTAGCGGTACTACGGAGAAGTACTTGGCTGGTATACTGCCCACCAGGTTTCCATCCAAGCGGAGTTCTTTGAGTTTGGGATAACTACCCAGGGCTCCTCTGTCAGCCTCATTCAGAGAGAGCAGGTTCCCTTCTAACAGCAGTGTGGTAACAGAGGAAGTGTTGTTGCTACGGGGAATTACTGTCAGAAGCTGGTTGGTCAAGTTCTTTACCTGCTAATAGATGGATGGAGTTATTATAACACATAAACAATCTGTGTAAACACATACAGATAAACCATCATGACTTTCACTCAGCAGTGCCAGCTTAATCAAAGAAAATTAGGATTTTCTACCTGCGTGTTTTCTTCCACAACCTCAGCATTACTTCCCAGTATATTCACAGTTACCAGTGCAGTGAAGAACAGCAGGAGAAGAGGTTTCCAACACACCTCCATTATCCTAGTCTGAAAAACAGAAAGGACTGTGGTTCATCCGGTTTGATAGGGATAAGAGTTTGTTTAAACTTGGAGGCTGAGAAGATCAGTCGCCTTTCTTTCTACTTTAATTCAAAGATTCAAATGATTTATTGTCGTATGCACTCTTAAGCTAGTGTAGAAATGGTAATGGAAATCTTATGATCCTCAAACGTCTATATATCCGTGACCAGTGTTTTTTTTAGCTCCTCTGACCCTTAGCTTGTAATCCATTCATTCTAAACAATTCACTCAGATAATTATAATAAAAGCAGATCGAATAATTCAGATGATACAAAAATATTCACAACTCAAAACAAGCGAAAAAGAATATGTTCATAGATCTTAGTCAGAGGCACAACATGTATTAGGTAACAGGTTAAAGAAAGAACAGCATGCAAAGGGAAAAATGAAACCGCTTTCATGATACAACTATCACCTCATGTCAAAGTGCTCTTTTAATACATCCATGTAAAATGGCATTTACATTTGAAATCCTTAAATTATATGAATCTGTTAACTTGTCCAAGATACGATCCTCTGGGCACTCACCTGACCTCTGAGAAACTGGGTGACTGAGAGGACGTCACACACCTTTTACCGGTGTCAGCTGAATAACCTTTGACCGGCATACACTAACACATCCGTCAGAATCCTTACTGTTGTGTATTAAATGTGTTTTATCCCACATTTTAAATGTATTTAGTCACGATTCTACATTACTAATATAGTAATAACAACCAAAAGCACTTACCTGTACTTCTAGGGACTCTTCAGTGAACTTAAACTCACCTGTCAGCGTGAGGAAACCTGCACAATGACCAACCTTTGTTCCTGGTTGTAAAACCGTTAGCTCACATGCACTGTTAATGCCAGCTGAACCAATAGATATGATCCTATCAGTTCTCCTTTCCACGTCTCGTTCCTACTTTGCTTTAAAGTATATTTAAGCATTTTTAGAGATACTGTATATCCCATTTTAAACTGTATTCCAAAAAATATTAAAACGTTTTAATGGTATCTAAGTGGTTTTTAAATTACATTTATATTCTTGGGGAAAGAGTGAATAGAAAGTAGGAAGGGAGACTGACGGATGTCCCTGGGTCTTTGTCACATGTCTCCATCCCCGTGATAATGACTGATGAAGGCAAAGTAAACATTTGAAAACAATATGAAGAAATATAAAAAGTCTTCTACTGTTTGCTCTGCAGAAGAGAGGAGGCCATCAGGGCGATAGAAGAGGAGATCAGGGGGGAGAGGAGGGTCGCCGAGGAGGTCGTCCAGGCGATGCCAGCCGGCAAACAGGAGCGGTACTTCACCATGACAACAGCCAATGAGGAACTGCTACAGGTACTCATGTCGTTTTATCAATATATTGTTATTATACTGCTTCGGTATAATTGTTGTCTTAACTCAGAATGCCAGTGTGATTTCATTCACACTGGCATTCTGTTTATTTAGGATGTAGTACTAATAATTGATTATTTTTAAGATACACTTCCCATTAAATGATAACTTCATAAAGTCAGTGAATATGAATGAACATTGGATACATTCCTCTTTGAAGTGTAGGCATTTCAAAAAAGTATACTGATCATTAGTAGTAACATTGCTATTAAGGAGTTTAATGTTTCAATGGTAATGAAGTGATTATTCATTGATATCACTTAAAGTGTGTTTTACATTACATATCATTTAGCTGATGTTTTTATCCAAAGCGACTTACAATAAGTGCAAAAACCATAAAGAATCAAACTGCGAACAACAAGGATGGTTCCATAGTTAGTGCTGGTGAATCCGTTACAAGGCCTAAATGAACTCAACAAGTGCTTTGTTTTTGCTTTTTTTATGACTTTTTTAACCCTTTGTCAAATAAATTCATTTTACTTCCTGCTTTCTTTCTTTTCCTCTTGTGTTTTGTCCTGTAGGAGCTGACTGTTCTCCAGGAGGAGCTGGACCTTCTGATAACCAGGAAGGAGGACTACGACGCTGTGAGTTGCTCAACAAAGACTGGAAGATTGAGGGAGGGGTTCTTTAGGGTTCACATACTTAACTTTAGATTTGTTTAATATATCAGTGAATGTCATTTAATACCAAGTATGAGAAATATCAATAACAACCAAAAACATTGTTACATGTAAGTAATGTCATGATATAACAATCTTTCCTAATGATATCACTGATCCATTGAAAACTGGACCTAAATGGACAGATTAAACAATCATTTAAGAATAACCCCATTTAAGCTCAAGGCCTTTATCCAAAAGGAATGTTTTAAGACTTTTCAAGACATGCAGATCCCCTGGGGAGGAAGGACATTCAGAATAAGGAATGAACAGATGTCAATTTAATGCGTTACAGTGACATCAGTATTAGCAGAAGGAGTAGCACAAAAGAGTTGAATCTGACTTTGTCCCGTGTGCAGGAGCTGTCCCACTCGCACATAAAGCAGGAAGTGGTTCGGCTCCACGAGACTCTGTTGGCTCTGCAGGGGAAGCGTGAGGCCATGGAGGCGGAGCACAAGAGCTCCCCCCAGGACGAGAGAGAGACACTGCTGAAACAGGTACGCTTCACATCCAGACAGAGACAAGGAGTGCACGTTTTATACTACAGAGAATGCTACATCAGACTTCACCGAGGGCCACATACAGAAAAAGATACGAAGGGCTGGGCCACTCACTAGAGGTGAGGTATATTTAAGCAATAGCTCACGACAGGCCGTGGTATATGCTCATTATATCATTATAATGGGCATATACCCATACGCTTCGCGTCGGGCCGAACCACGCCCCTTGGCCGAACCACGCCCCTTAGCTGTGATATAATGAGCATATATCACGGCCTGAAGTGAGCTATTGCTTTTATAAAACGGTTACCAAGTGTGGCAATATGAAAGAAAAATACACACTCTAATTTAAATAGTTTTTATTAGTAAATAATGATGTTCAAAATAAAATAGTCCCTCCGTTGCCTTCTGCACGAAACATGCAACAACACTAACAGCTAGCGAACGTATTACGGCCCGTCCACACAGCGGCGTGCGTTGACACTTGGCAGTGGGCGTATCTGAAGCTTGGGGATTTTTTGCGAGCAACGCGACCAACAACCAATCACATGAATCTCCCGCCCCCGACATACAAAGCAATAGCAATGTTAAAACAAAGTAAACTGGATATAAAATTCCCTGTGGGCCCGTCCAGACACTTTGAATGGAGTGACGTCACTTTTTGCCGAACTGCATTTTGGGAAGCGACGCGTTGCTGACGTTGCTCGCTTCAAAAGTTGAGCAATGTTCAACTTTTGGCACCTCGGCAGAAGCGTCAGCCATTGAAATCCCGTTTATTCAAATCTGCCAGTACAAGCGCTAGCCAATCAAACCGCGTGTATGCTGCGAGAGACTACGCAGGTCATTTCCTCATATTCCAAAAAATGGAGGGAAAATTCATTATAGCGGTAGTGAATCACCCGGTGCTGTATGATCAGTCTCTGTTCATCTACCGGGATACAAACCGGAGGAGCCAGGCATGGAGGGAGGTGGCAGAGACAGTGGGTGAAACTGGTAGGTTTTCGCCTGTTTGGAGAGTTTATATCCAGTTTACTTCGTTTTAACATTGCTAATGCTTTGTATGTCGGGGGCGGGAGATTCATGTGATTGGTTGTTGGTCGCGTTGCTCGCAAAAAATCCCCAAGCTTCAGATACGCCCACCGCCAAGCGTCAACGCACGCCGCTGTGTGGACGGGCCACAGAGAGCGTTGATCCATTATTTGGCTATTTATTTACATTCATTTTTCTATGTTGCCGTTTATTGTGCAGCCACTGAAAAACTGTCCAGCATCAGTAGCATGGCTTACGTGGTCACTTGTATAGGTCACACA